GGGCCCCCTTGTTCTCTTTAATGTTTATTTCTTTCATGAGCACACACATCCATGAGAGAGAGAGAAGCATCTTCAACGAGTCTCACTGCAATCTACATCCCCAGCCTCAGACAGCATGATTAGGGGTACATGCATGCTCCAGGCTCTTCGGGGAGCCAAACCTGTGATCTTCCACAACAGCTTCACTTGAGTTGCATTACTGCTGTGCCACTGAGCCAGAGCAGTCCTCTTATTTCACTTTTAATCCATCAATCCTTCCTCTCATAGCAACCAGGGGATGGTTTTAAATATGAGATTATTTAAATTCTCTAATTTGCTTTGCCTTGCTTTAAAAATAAAATCCCAACTTCATGCCTCAAATGACCTACATAAACTGGTCTGCCTACTTCTCTGACCTACATAAGGAGCTGCTCTTCCCCAGCCTTCCCAGGGCTAATCCTTTATTGTTATTCAGACCTCAGCTCTGTGGTTTCCGCACAGAAACCTTTAACCCACTTAGGCAGTCCGTACTGCATTACCGTGTTTCAATGCTCTGAAAGCTCTTATTATCATCTACATTACCTCTACCCCTTCACTAGATCAGAGGCTCCTTGTGAGCAGAAAGTGAAAGTAGCCCTTTGGGTCATTACTGCAAATAGGCATCTGAGTAGTACTTAGAAGGGTCTCAGTATATATTTCTTTCTTCCTTCCTTCCTTTCTTTTTTTTTGAGTTTTTTTTTTTTTTTCCTATAGGGCATGTGTGCTCACCAGAAAGAAACAAAAAGTGAGAAATTGCCCCCCAAGGAGGAATGGCCATGCCACAATCCCTTCTCTATTCTCCTCTCAGGAACTTGGACATGCACACACACACACACCCAGTGTGAGTTTTAAGCCATCAGGTCTAGGACTTGAACCACAATCGATTGTGTGGGAGTCCACCAATGTAAACATTATGCCATCTGCTGATCTCTTCAGAATATATACATATATATTTTTAAGACAGAATTTTGCTAAAGAACGTGTGCACTCGCCAGAGAAAATGAGAAATCCCCTCCCCCCCCCACCCCCGGAGGATGGCCATGCTGCAAATCCCTTCCCCTCCATTCTCCTCTTGGGATTTTGGGCATGCACACACATGTACCCAGCATGAGTTTTAAGCCACTGGGTCCAGGACTCAAACCATGGTTGACTATGTGGGAGTCCAGCGATATAAACATTATGCCATCTGCTGGTCTTGATATATTTCTTAAACAAGTTAGTGAATGGATATTCTTATGATTCATGGCAAATGTAGATCCTACCCTTTATGACACCAGTTAGAACCACTTTGAAGAAAGTAGTTTTAGGTCTGAAAATCATTTTGGTTGGCATAGCATTTTCAACTCTGAGGTCTGTGATTTCAGTTCTACACTATCTATAGAGCAGTTATAGGTGGCAAGGCATTAAGTTATAGAAAACCGAAAGAACTAATAAAACACAATAACATCATTAGTAGACTAGAAGAGAGCTCTAGGATGGCTTCATTGCACAATGGTAAGTGCTGTGTATTGCGAGCCAGATCCCATATGGCCAACCACAGTTCTAGCCCTGGTGGCTTGAAAAAATATTCCCAGCATATATGCAGACATGCCTCAAATCCTGCTGGCAGGAAGAGGAGGAGGGAAGGGGATTGTGGTGTGGTCATGCACCTTTGGGTGCTTCATCTCACTCTCACAATTTTTTCTCTGTCTCCTGGAGAGAAATGCACCCTCTAGCAATTACAGAAAAATGAAGAAAAGAAAGAGAGAGGGACCAGCAGTTAGTGTAATGGCTATGTCATTGGACTCCCATGTAGTTGACCACGGTTCGTGTCCCGGACCCGGTAGCTTAAACTCACACCGGGGGCGTGTGCGTGCGTGCCCAAGATCCTGACAGGAGAATGGAGGAGAAGGGATTGTGGTGGCCATCCCCCCTGGGGGGGGTGATTTCTCGCCTTCTGTCTCTCTGTCTGTCTGGCGAGCGCACGCGCCCTATAGCAAAAAACCTCTTCATGCCGCAATCCCTTCTCCTCCATTCTCCTCTTGGGATCTTGGGCATGAACGCACACGTGCCCAGTGTGAGTTTAAGCCACTGGGTCCGGGACTCGAACTGTGGTCGACTACATGGGAGTCCAGTGACACAGCCATTACGCTAACTGCTGGTCCCGTGTAATACACATTTTCTGTGAATATTTTGAAGGCTTTTCCTTGAAATATCATGCAAGACTGGAAGTTGGTGCTCTCTCTCCATACTGCTAGTATTATTCAAGAACAGACCACAGGGAAGAAGAGTAGACCATCTCCACTGTCAAACACTATCCTCGATTCCCTATGCAGGCAGTATCACCCCCCTCCCCCCCCGTAAGGGTGTTTGGAAATTTGCAGGGATCTTTTCAGTAGTCACAACACAGGGTATTAATTGGACTTCTCTGGGCAGAACTTAGAAATGCTGACAGTTTTGCAATGACCAAGGGCATTCCAAAAATAATTGTCCCATGTTTCAAGTCCCATATATATTTCAAATATCATACCAGGATAAACCCCCTTGTAAGCATAAATTGCAAGCACTTTACCAGAAAATGTTAGAAGATTTTTTAAGAAATGAAGTAAAATAATTTAGAAGAAAGTTGTCATAAAGAGGGATATTTAGATGGAATTCAGATATCGTTTGAAAATTACTCAATGATTTATCTTTTTGGTCCGTAATGCCTATTCAATGTATCACTTATTTGCAACTACACATATACTTTTAAAGGATTTCAGTACAAGAAGTTAGTTTCTTTCATTGCAAATATGAGACAAAAAAGATTTAAGACTCAGTGTCCTATGTATTGAGAGAAATGCAATTACTGGGTGAACTGGGGAAAGATTAGTATTATTACTATTTTATTTTATTAGAGGGCATGTTCACTCTCGAGAGAGGGAGAGGGAGAAAGTACCCCAAATCTGGTCATGACTCAGTCCTTTCTCCTCCACTTCTCTATCTTGTTGGGATTTGGGGCTTGCATGCACACATGCCTGGTGTGTTTTTCAAGCCATAGGGGCCACAATTCAAACTGCAATTGGCCATGTGGGATCCAGCTCCCTTAACGACCAGGCCACGAGGGTGGTCTAATATTTTGTCTGAGATTTTACCAAGTGTTTTCTAAAAGTACATCATGGACAACAATGCTAGTTCTGGTATTTAAACTACTAATAAAATACCCCTGCACCAGTCTTTACTTACAGTTCCATGTATGAACATACGTATAACAGAAATAATTTGAGACTCTTATAAACAGATTCAGACACATAGAAATTAGCAGACATCTGAAAGAATAGTATCAATTTGTATGTTTCATGCCAATATTTCTTGCCATTCTATTTTTTTAAAGAATTATTTTTTAACATTATTTAATTCAGTTATTTATTTTAATTTGACCAGAGAGGGACACATATACACACACACACACACACACACACACACACACACACACAGAGAGAGAGAGAGAGAGAGAGAGAGAAAGACACGAGGTCCAGGATCCAAACCACGGTCAGCCATGTGGGAGTCCAGTGCCTTCAAAGAACATGCCACCTACCAGCCCCATCATTCTATTTATTTTTAAATTTTAAATTAAAAGCAATAACTGATCTCTGCCGTGAAAATTACGTATTGAAATTATGCATTTATTCTCGGGGTTGCCACTTTTCAATCATACATACCCCGAGTGATCTACTACTCCATTTTTTTGTCAGTCCATTGTATATTGCCTGTTGTTGATTTTAGGATAGCGTCTCAGAATTTCCCCTTGGGGAAAATAAATGATAAGTTATTTCAGATTTATGTATATATTTGTATGTCCTAGATTTTTGAACATAGATGGCATGTTTTGTGTTTCCCAGTTGTATGTCATAATATAGAGAATTATTGAGACACTATCCTTGTACAAGAAGCTCCAGCTCATTAGCAGGACTATCAGACATTCCTGTCTATTATGTTTCTGGCCCTATTATCCCTACTTTAAGTTCTCTCCCTCTTTCTCTCATTATATGCAAGCACGTTTACTTATTCTGTTCTTTTTATTAAGGTCCACCTGTAGCTATGCTTGTCCAGTTATTCATTTATTAATCCATGTATACCTGTTTCTTTCATTTTTATACTTCTTGTATGGAGGACTATTGATCTTTTTACTTCTTTGAAAACCCATACTTAATCACTTTTATTGTGTGCAGACACCAGGCAATTTCATTATGTCTTTTGAAGTATTTCTATCTAAATGTGTATATAGGGAATCTATATTGTTTTATTATACTTTAAAAAATTTTTTGCTATAGGGCACATGTACTCACCTGAGAGAGACAGAGAAAGAGGAAAACTGACAAATAACTCCCTAGGGCAATGGCCATGCTTCAATCACTTCTCTTTCATTTTCCTCTTGGAATTTTGGGCACACATGCATGTGCACCTGTCGTATTTTCCAAGCTGCCGGGTCTGGAACTTGAACCATACACTTAACCATGTGGGATCCAGCTGCCATAACAACCACACCATCCAGCCTTACGTTATTTTTCTTTTACCTTGATGTTAGAATTAGGAAATCATATCAAATCTAAAAATTCAAAGTGGGTTATTGTATGTATGAGTTTCTATTTAGGATATCAAAGAGGGCATTATTTAATATTTGCATGAAGATGGAGTGTTATCTGATTTGGCCATGAACACAGTCTTGGTAATGTCCACGTCTCTTCCATCTCTAAAGTCCTCAAACTACTCGGTTTCTCAAACCTTACTAAAAATGATGAATATCTCTGTTTCCAAACACAGTATACATTCCACTCACAGAAATGGATACTAAGGTGAACGTGCTCTCTTGGGAGTCAAACTATTTTCTATTTATAAAAGAGAAGTAGTTGTTTTTGTTTTTGTTATTTCACTGAGTTGACACGCTCATGCTGCATCGGTGATGTGAGCACCAGTAATCTGGTCCAACTATTCTCTTATGCATATCTGTGTACTCTTCTTACCTAGCTTGATGAGGCGCAGCATGGAGGTATTACTTCCTCTCTCGGTGCAAGCAGTTACTGAGAGGTTGTAGATGTCTCCTGGAGGCAGGCTGAGAATTGCGGTCATGACATTGCGTGTTACCTGCAAGATCATCAAAATCACCTTTTTAAATCTCCAGTGAATAAGCCAGCTCCCCCCCACCACCACCACCTCAAACAACTACCGGGTGATAATGGACATTCTCTCTGTTCTACCTTGCAAGTCACAATCAATTACATTACGCATATGTCATTTTAGAATAATTACATAAATTCCCACAATGGGCTACAGGCAAGTGAGCCTTAAAAATGCAGCATACAGGGCAGCTAGTGATACGGTGGTTAAGGTGGCTGGATCCCACAGAGCCAACTGCTCAGTTCGTGTCCCAGACCCAGCGACTGGAAAAATATGCTGGGCACAGGTGCATGCCCTAAATCCTGACAGGAGAATAGAAGAGAAGGGAATGGGGTGTGGTCATCCCCTCTTGGGGGTACTTTCTTTCTGTATCTCTCTAGCAAGTATACATGCTGTATAGCAAATAAACAAACAACAACAAAAAAGCCCCACAAAGAACATTAACCAAAGAAATGGAGAGTATATATAAGATAGAACAGTTTTGAAATTAATTCCCTTGTTTGCAATGGATATTACTCTGATATTTTCACACATATTTACAGCAGATTTTTAAAAAGGCAGTTGCTGATTGCTACTGACACATCCACTCTGAGAAGCCCAGAGGAAACCTAGTCATATCTATAGACCCATAGCTTCCCACCCTAAGGCCATATTTACTCTCTTCCTCAATAGCTAGAAGAGACCTTGTGACCCAGTCCTGACCAATGGAAATCACATGAATAACGTAGCTCAGTTCACATCCTATAAGGGCTGCGCCTTTGTGTTCTTTCTTGTCTCCCCCCTGCAGGCTGGAAAATGGATGTAGTGATGAATGAAGGTTTCCCTAGGTGGATGAGGACTGAGTATAGTGGCGGGTGGTGCAAGAAAACAAAGAATCTCTGTCTCTGATGACTCCTTACAGCAGAAATGTCCTGTGAATACTGGGTTTTCAGGAAAGAGAGAAACTTCTGTTGTGTTTGATCCAGTCTCTTTTTGTTTGTTTCTTTAGTCCACTAGTTTAGTTTGTATCTGAAGTAATACAATGTCAGCCTAATAAACCAGGAGAAAAGAAATCAGTATCCCAATGTACCCAAATACCTAGATGTTGGTGCCATATGGAGAAAATATTAAAATATAAAATATATAATTTTCAGTTCTCTTGAAAGTGTTTAGCATCCTGAAGAGAAAGCTCAAATAATAACTTTAAAGGTAAATCAAATCAAGAATGAAAACTATTCACTTATGTTAAAAGGTAAGCAGTATGAAAAGAAGAATTTATTTTCTTTTGTTCTCTTTTATGTCATTTTTCTCTTCCTTTTAGTTTTGCTATAGGGTGTGTGTGCTTGCGAGAGACAGGGAGGGAGAGTGAGAAGTCGCCACCCGGAGAGATGGCCATACCACAATTCCTTCTTTTTTGTTCTTTTCTGAGGATTTTGGGCATGCATACATACATGCCCTGCGTGATTTTCAAGCTATTGGGCCCAGGACTAGAACTGCAAAGTTAGCCATGTGGGACTCAGTCACCTTAACCTCCACACCACCTGCTGGCCTCCAGAAAAAATTAATTTTTGTTCCCTGTCTCATATCCAGAACCTAAAACAGTGCTAACTGGTATGCTGAGATTTGTTTAATGTCTTAGGAAATGCTTGATAGTTTTCAACAGTCTATGTAACTAAATGTTCAGATGCCCAATACCATGATTCAAGAAACATACACTCTTTTTAATTTTCTTCTTTCCTTCTGCAACCACCATCCAGTGCAACATTCTAGAATGGGACAGATCAGTTGTGTCATCCCCGTATTTCCAACTGATATACAACAGGCTGTTGATATATTCCACTGAAGTGATTTCTGGAGCCACTGGGGCTACAAGGGTGAAAAGAGAGATAATTTAGTATAACACACTAATAATTAAAGTACATATCAATAGAATATGAATACCCTCAGGTAGTTAATGTAGAGAATTAAATTTCTCTGTATATAGAGGTCCTCCAGGCTCCTGTTCCTCTCAGTAACAGAGTGAAGATTGTTTCATGGGGCCCTACTTTGTTTATCTCCGACACAAAACAGCCAGCTCCATCTGTGCCTGAGGATGTCAAGATTTTTTTGTCTAAAGAGGGATTTTTGCTAAAGGGCGTGTGCACTCACTGGAGAGACAGAGAGAGGCAGAGAGGAAGAGAGACAGAAAGCAAGAAGTCACCCCGGCCCCCACCCCGGGGAGATGGCTATGCTGCAATCCTTTCTATTCCATTCTCCTCTTGGGATTTGGGCACCCACACATGCACCCAGCGTGAGTTTCAAGCTGCCAGGTCCAGGACTCAAACCATGGCTGACTATGTGGGAGTCCAGCAACGTAACCATTATGCCATCTGTTGGTCCCTCAAGGTCTCATATGTAAATTTCACTGTTGTAAGATAGGTAAAATATTCCCTTGTTTGAGTGTCACTTTTTTGTTACATTGATCAATTAATATTAATAGGTATTGGTGAAGTTATTGTCCAAGTAGTACTGGAAAACTTGGGGTCCTCTAAAAGTAAGTCTCTCTTACTGTGGTGCAGTAAAGATGTTTATGAGGAAAAAAGAATAGGAGGGAAGGGTAGGATAGACTATAACAGCACTGGGGAGCAGGTGGTGTGGGGGTTAAGGCACTGGATCCTGCATGGCCGAATCTGAAGTTGACGTTCTGGACTCCGCAGTTTGGAAATTATGTCAGGCATGTGTGCATGTATGCCCAAGATACCAAGAGGAGAGACTGGAGGAGAAGGGATTGTAGCATGACCATATCTCGCTGAGGGGTGATTTGTCACTTTCCCTCTCTCTCTGGTCAGTGTCCATGCCCTATGGAAAAAAAGAAAAAGGTAATAGTACTGTAAGTGGAACAGAGGACAAATGTTACCAAAAAATAACAAGGCAGTACCATCAACAGTGTCTGTCTAGGCCAGTGCTTTGCAAAAAGTAGGGTTTTCTTCTTCTTCTTTTTTTTTTTTTTTTTTTGCTAGAAGGGCATGTGCACTTGCTGAAGAGACAGATGAGAGACAGAAAGCAAGAAATCATCCCCCAAGGAGGATGACCATGCTGCAATCCCTTCCCCTCCATTCTCTTCTTGGGATTTTGGGCATGCATGCACATGCATCTGGCATGAATTTTAAGCCACCGAGTCTGAGATTTGAACTGTGGTTGACTATGTGGGAGTCCAGTGACACAACCATTATTCCATCTATTGATTCTAACAAAAAGTAGGTTCTTAATAAATGTTACTGAGGCAAGCAAAAAAAGGAAAGAAGGATTTAAAAAATAAAAGCCTCAAAGCTAAATTCTTTTTTTTTTTAAAGCTAAATTCTAACACTGAGTTTATTACTTTAACTTATATTCTTATATATTTAAAGTTTTTTAAAAAATTGCCATTTAGGGAGGAGAATTCAAGCTTTATAGAATACAATCTTTTTTTTTTTTTTTAATTTGGAAAACCAGGCCACTTTAATGTTTTTGTACAATTTAACAAATAATCTTTTGATGACTGCAGACATCTAAGACTGGCTATATTCAGAAACATCAGTCATGATGGTTTTCCAGATGGTGTATCATCTTGAAAAATTACAAGGCGTTATTTGTATGCAACTGCTATCAAACCAGGAAGACAGCACTTATGCATCCATCATTTTCAGGATTGTTGATAACTTGGGCATATTTCCCCCAAATAACCTTGCCTCCTTGTGTCATAAGGCCCAACTTGCTCACGTTCACCTCAAGGACAATACCTTTGGTGATAAAACCCCAAGTTGTATGTAGTGGGGATGAGGGAGTCTTCTTTACACCAAGAATTGGCAGGCACAAGGTGGCTTTCAGTTCAGGATATGTTACGTGGGCCTTCTTGAAACATAACGTGTTGGCCTAATGAATCTTTCATATTTAGGGAGTTTTCTAGTAAAGCCATCTCCAACAAAGCAGACTTTTGTAACCATCCTCTTCCATGCCTTCTTTCTCTTTCCTGTTCGAATAACTTTTAACACTTTTGTTTCTCCCTGGGCTTGAACTTTGGGTAGAGGGACTTCCCATTTTCCTGCTTTTCTTTCTGCTTTTGTTTAATCATATTGGAAAGTACTTTAGCTCGGGACTGTCCTTCTCTGTCCAACAGATAGGCAGGTCCTGCTCCGTGTAGAGTCTTCATCACTCTTCTGTTTGGTGTTCCTCTTTTCAGGCATCTTGATAGTCTTTTTTATTTGTATTTTCTCAGCATGGCGCTGTTTATGTTAGAGCTTAGCCTTCAGACCAATCATTCTTTTTGCCTTCTTTGAAAGTTCATGAGCCTCCTGACTTTCTTTCTCTTTTTGTCATGGTAATCCAAACGATATTCACAGTGTTTATGATGTAATTCAATATACTCATTTTGTGGCATGGTGACGGCTGCAGGGTTGCCAGGAGCAGCCTCCGGGACACAAAGAAGTTGTCAACTTTCAGGTCTCAGAGACTAACAAGTGAACTCAACACAGTCTAGAATGGGAAAAAGCTAGTATACAATCTTTGAAAGTATAATTGAATTATTTTAAATGTAACTGATAATTCTGAAGATTTTAAGTAATATAGACACAGTTAAATTTAAATTCCATGTGTATTTTGGCTTGAAGACAATCAAGTGTTCCATTCTGAGAGACAGCTCAATATCAACTAAGATAATTTGAGAATTTCTATAAATCATAAAAATTATTTTCCTTAATATCATGCAAATACACCTAACACACACTCACCGCTAATTATGTTTTCAAAAATAATTATTCACTATGGAGAATTTCCTATGTGTAGGTAAATAACACGTGTATTTCATGTGAACTAGAGTAGCATTTCTAATGTGTATAACAATAAAATCTTAAACTATCAACAATGACTAACAAGTAACCCAAATCTATGACATAGTTCAGAATAGACTACTAGAAAAAACAACCTTGTCTATTTACAGTCTGCTGCTGTGCTCCAACATAGCATATCCTAGATAGATACCTACAGATATTTTCTTCAAAGAATACTCTCATGTTCTAATTTGGTAAGGACAAAACATTTTTAAAACTGCAAACCTAGAAGTATTTCATCTCTCCCTCCCAGGATGTGGTCTTCAGGTTTCTTTCTGTACTTCATGTGGTTGGTCTGAAATTTAGCACATTGCTCCGAGCCACCAGATGTCACTGTTGGTTTATTAACAATTATTTGGTAAGTGTGTGTGTGTGTGTGTGTGTGTGTGTGTGTGTAATTACAATGGACCTGGCTTGCAGGCTGTTGCCTAACAAAGATAGACAAGTTCATAATCACTCCAAATTCAAATACTTTTTCTTGTTTTCTTTTGTACCACACAATCTGACAATGTGAATTAAAATTCAAAGCCTAGCAAAGTAAAGCATGAGATCTTCATTTATTTTATGTTAGATCCTTGTTTGGGGGCCCAGCAGGTGGTGTGGTTGTTAATGTGCTAGACTTCCACATGGCTGATCACGGTTTGAGTCCCAAACCCAGCAGTTTAAAAATCACACTGACTGTGTGTGCATGAGTGCCCAAAATCCCAAGAGGAGAATGGAGGAAAAGGGACTGTAGCATGGCCATCCCCACTAGGGGGGTGATTTCTCATTTTCTCTCTCTCTCTGGTGAATACAAAAAACCACTAGAATTTTAACTGATTTTAAAAAAATAAGAATAAAGTTAAACTTCAAGAGTTATTGATAAATCACGTTCAAGAATGAAAAATGAAAATGATATGTCATATGTATTCTGATAAGCAATACATATGTATTCTAATAGCAACTTATACAATTTAATTCTCACACTATTGTGTGAGGTATTTATTATGCCCATTTTACAGATGTGGAATTGAGCCCATTTACATCAATATGCTCAGGGAAGCCTGTAGACTGCTGGTGTCAGGATGACGTAGTTGTTTGCCCCAGGGAAAGTTAAGAAATTCCCAAAGAAAAGTTTACTGGAAACCATTGCCTGCTCACCCCAGGAGAAAGTTTCCTTATTAACCACAGTTTATTTTTACACACTTGTTATGTCCACCTAAACTGTTATAAACTTTGCCCAATAAACATCTTTAGTAAAAATGCCAAATCCTATTAATAGTTCATGTCTGATGGCTTCTTCATGAGAGGCTGCAAAGACTCCATCAAGGAGGCATTCAAGTGCACTAAATTAGTCTATTAAACAGTTGCCAGGTAATATTTTGGAGAGGTCTATGATGAGAATAGAAACCCAGGGTCACTAAGATCATTTACTCAAAGTCCTACTGGTAGAAATGCACAGGTCCAGGTTGAGATGCTAAATCTAGGCTTTTTCCAGATAACTTTTCTGTCTGAGAAAAAAAAAAAAGTCTTACAACAATAAACTGTAAGAGTTATTGACATAGCCAAGTTTAATTATACTTACATGTGTGATTACAAATAGACTTAAAAGTCTAACATAGCAGGAGTCAAATAATTGGTATTTCTCCTTTTTTAAAGTATTCTTATATTGTTCCATTCTAACGTATTTTTTATACTTAAATCATTGCTTTTTTTCCTTTTAGGTTTTTGCCATAGGGCACATGTGTTCACTGGAGAGACACACAGAGAAACAGGGAGAGGGAAAGTGAAAAGAACACCTCCCAGGGGGGATGGCCATGCCACAATCCCTTCTCCTCCATTTTCCTCTCAGGATTTTGGGCAAGCACATTGGCACGAACACCTGGCATGATTTTCAAGCCACTAGGTCAGGGCATTGAACCCATGGTCAATCACGCAGAGTCCAGTGCCTTAACCACTATACTACGTGCTGGCCCCCTACTCTAATATTACTAGCAGCATCTGGAACACAGAGGGCTCTGAATATCAATTAGTAAAGAATCACATAGTATGTAAGTTAATTGGCTAATAATTAATATATTACCTATTTCTTTCCATTCTTTTCAGTGATAAGCTTCAACAGAGTGAAACTAGATGTCCAAGGAGGAAACTATTTTGCCCAAATTAATCTTCATTTAAATTTTTTCTTCTACTTTTTTTCTCGGTACGTCTCTATCTAGAGCCTTGCTAAGAAAAAGTTCTTGAAGTCTTAGTTCAAACAAGGGTTAGCGTTCCTTTGATGAATTTCCTCTTTTCATTGCTATCTCTGACTATTGCTTAAAACTACATAATTAAAGGCTCGTGAGACTCTAAAAAGGAATAAAGTATTTAATCTGTGTCTCATAAAGTTTCAGAATGAAGTATTAATAGGTATTAATAGATAATTTATACTATCACCATTCCCCATTTTATACACACACACACACACACACACACACACACACACATATATATATATATATATATATATATATATATATATATATGAACTAGGGCTTCAAGGAGTTGCTCAGGTCATGTGTGGTATGTGGCAGAGCCATGATTCAAGTCCAGGTCTATCTGTCTTCAAAGTCTATTTTAAACTTCTGCAATGGACCCTACTGTAGTCAGTCTGTGACTTTAAAGATGGCTTACTTAGTAAGGAAATGGAGGCACTCTAACAAATGTAATCATCAACTTGGTAAAATCAGTTGAGTGTGTGCTGTGAAGCTGAGGGCTCTGCCTGCTCCAGCGCGATGCTAATCAGTCCCAACCGGGGAGCCTGTAAGCCAAGGGCAATGACTCAAGAAAAATGAGTCAAGGGCAGTAGTAACTCAGAATAATAACGATATCTTAATTTTTAGAGATTACCAATGAAGCAAATAATGAATGATCAGAATCAAGCTTATGGTCTTCCATGAAACTGATGCTTACTTGGTGCTGGGTAAATGACTGGCAATTTCTGGAGATGTGGTCTCTCAGTCTCTCCTCAGAATAATATTTTTGACTCCTGTAACCATTCCCCCCTGACACACTCACCTGTTATGAAGCTTATAGTGGAACTGTCACAGCAGCTCAATTCTGGATCTCCCCATGTCACCATCGTAACTCGAAAGTTGTAGTACCACGCAGGCAACAAATTAGCTATTCTCTACATGAGAGAAAAAGCAAGCAAGAAGACAAAGAACTAAGAGGGGAAATATTATTTCTGGAATAGAAATACTTTCACTAAGTTGTACCAAAAATCAGTAATTTTTATTTTCCTTTCTGGTACCTTTTCATAATTCCCTAATTTTTCATAGTAAAAGGTTTTTCTGGAATAAGGTGAAATATAAATAAAATAAAATATAGAAATATAATAGTTTAAGGCGATTTGAAAGATAAAGAACCATCTATTTCCAATTTTCATTTCATTCTGCCATTTTTGAAATTATATTACACAAGAGAAATAGGACTGATTAGTAAGTGACTGTGTGTACACTACATCCCTCTGTTTCTAAGACAGGTGACTCGCAACCCTGTATGTTTCCATTGTAAAGCACCAGCAGGCATCCTGGTTGGTGGCAATTACCC